TCCTGCCCTCCCCTGTCCCCCTCCGGTTGTCATCTCTCCCACTTCCTCACCCAGGCTTTGTCACCAGGCCATGTACACCCAGGGTCTAAACAATGGCAACTTCAATAGCCAGCAGGAGTTCAAAGGGGTCGACAGTCCCATCAGATTGGCATTCAGCTGAGGCTGCCACCAGCTTAGCAAGTGGGAACCCGTCCCACCTCTGAGTGACTAAGCAGGGAAGTGGAGGAGTCAGCACTCTGCAGGAGTCTGGAGGTCGGCTGCAGGCTGGACCTGGACTCTTGCAGCAGGAAAGGAAGGAGGATATTTCCTCCAGGTGAGCTGTGAGGAAATGAAATCTGCTGCAGATTGCTGGGCAGGGCCAGCCGTGGACACCTGCCAAGCCCACGGTCTTGAAACCACCACTGGCTTGGACACACTGTGAATGACAGTTCTCTCATGTCTCTCTCTCTCTCTCTCTCTCTCTCTCTCTCTCTCTCTCTCTCTCTCTCTTTCTCTCTCATACAAATGCACACATTTTCATCATGTATAAAATGAGTAAAATCATGGAAAGGTAAACTGAATGCAGAGAAGACACACACATGAAAGCACACATCTGCAAAGGCTTTGGTTCACTAACTTCATGCCCTTTTCTCTTGAGCAGCTGCCACTTCCTCTTCTCATAGCAAAACATGCTCCATCCTGGTTTGATTCAACCCAAGACCACAAGCCGCAGGCACCAGGGCACATCTTGCAGGCACTTTTATACGCTTTTTATAAATGGTATAGCCCCAGTGTTTAGCGGGTGGCCCATAGAGCAGTACTGGCTGGGAGGCAGCCCCACTCAGAGTTCTGGATCCCAGCTCTGTGCGATCCTTCCTCCAAACTACTGAGGTGCCTGCATCAGCCAGGGGACACCCCTTTATTAGAACTCTGTGTTCCAGCTCTGTGGGGCCCTTCCTCTGAGCATCTAGGTTCCAATAACCCCAGCCTCTTTTCTTTGTGTCTTTAGCCCTTGGTGGGGCAGCTGCTTCCTGCAGTTACCACCACTGAGATATACCTCAGGGTTCCTTTTTTGCCTTTCAGTCTGCTAATAGCAGCTTAATTCATTCCCTTTATTGAATTCTTTCTGTTAAAATAACTATGGTGATCAACGCTTTACCTAAATAATGTTTACCTGATCAAAAGACTTTCTGGAGTAGTACTAACAGTTTTGGTTTCCTTGGTTAGTTTTACTGTGTTCACTTTGAATAAAAATTCATTGAATTTTTTTCAGTTATGCTTTAATTTTATAATCATTAAAAAAAAAAAAACTATGGTGTTTTTCTGATTGTACTTTCACTGATATAGGAGAAAAGATAGTAGGAAAAAGCATGTCAAGTTGAACCTGCTGGTAAAGACAAGTTTCCGGGTGATGGAGTGGCCCATCCTCGTCACCTGGGGCACAGAGAAGAGCTTTTCATCTGTCATGTTCAAATGATACTCCTCAAGGAACAGTGTTCAAGACCTAATTGGAAGTTACCACCCACCAAGCTGTCCAAGTTATTGACCATTTCTTACGTAGATTCTGAGGGGATTTAGATACAGCTGAACAGTACAGGAACATATGCCCTTTAAATAGCCAGGGATTCCAGAAGAAAAGAAAGAAATTCTGAAGACAGCAGGCCTAAGTAAGGAAAAGAAGACCCAACTGGGGAAGAGGATGCTGTAGAACAGAAATACAGAAGGAATTAAGCAACCTAACTCTTCCTAAAGACCAAAGAGAGGCCACTATGCTCTAAGTCAAGAGGGGGAGGGCCATTAAAATCACAGGTGGTTGCAATAACCTCACGTACATTCAGCACTGAATTTCCAATCCCTGTCTCCTTACTTTGGGAGCAATTAGTCTCGGGTGAAAAATTGCACTTGCAGCTAATTGCACCTGCAATTACCTACTTCCGGGTGCAATTAGCCACTTGAACCTAATTCTGAGTGTGCAAGTGTTTAATTGCGTATGTGAGGAGGTGATTCCAGACACAGTTAGTTGTGCCCTCAGTCTTTGCACCTGCAACTAATTGTGACTAATAAAACAAGTCTTCATACAAGTCAGGTTGAAGGCGCATATGGTGACCCTGTTTGGGGAACCAAGAATTGGATTGGTTGGGGTAATACAGGTACAAGTTTATTAACGGGAACAAAGGGACAAATTATTAGAAATTGTCACTCTTTGGATTTATGGCTACATTATCTGCATCCCTTTCCTGCGGTCATGCTCCTCCTGGACTATGAAATATAAAGTCAGCTGATTAAAGGCAGGCATCCTGCCGTGGCTGACGCAGATATTTGCGAAAATTGAACAGAGTAACGTCTGCTGACATTGAGGAACAGGTGCAGGTCAGAAGTACATTCCAGCCAATTCTCTGATATTTGGGTTAAATCTGATGAGCTTGTTGGAAATACTTGGCAACAGCTATTTATTGAACTCCTACCATGTACTAAGTCATACAGTGAATCCGGAGACTAATAGACATGGCTCTTGCCTTCAATTTCATGTCAGTCTCACAAATAATTATTGAGTACCTACTATCTGTTTGGCATGTCCAAGTGCTCATGAGCTTATTGGGAAAATCCGTTTATTCTGTCTTTCTACAAATACCTGCTTATCAAGCCCTCTTGGAGCCCACATACAAGTGGGGAAGACAGGTGTTAAATAACTATTTAAACAATCAGTGTTTTCACAGGAGGTCCTGTGAAAGTGCATGACTAAGATCTGCTGGGCTGAGCGTTTAGGTTAGGGTGCTCCAAAGAATTCATGTTTGAGCTGAGATTCAAAAAATGACTAGGGCTTACCTAGAAAAGGGGGCGGAGAGAGGGCTCCAGTCAGAGGGAATGAAAACGCCAAGGCTCTGAGGCAGAAAGGAACTTGCCAGCATTGAGAATGGAAGGAAGGCCAGTGTGTCTGGAGCAGGGGAAAGGGGAGAGGGGTGAAGTTTATGTGAGGAATAGCAGGAGGTTCTTCAAAGTTCCCAAAGATGTGCCCTGTGAGAGAACAGATGATGGTCCTCCTCTGGGACGAAGGGCATTGCGTGACCTCTCAGCAACAGCCAAGAGGGAATCTTGATGTGAGACATACTTTGTGCTCTCCCTCTAATCTCACCAATACCAACCTGGACTCTGCAAGAGCCAGCAAAGAGATGAGGCAGAGGTAGAGTAAACTCGCAGACCAACCCCTCCTTCCCACCTGCACAGCCCTGAGCTTCCGCCTAAGCCAGTAACTTTGATTTGGAGGTGAGAGTAAAGTTTTACATGAAACTAGACCAGACCTTTGCACTTGTAAAACACAAAATCTCATTATCAAAACGGGGACTATTGTAATAGTTGGAAGTAACCCAGAAAGCTATGGACATGCATGACATGTCTCTAAAGGATGGGAAATGGGGCCTGCCTGAGCACATTTGAGGGCCGAGTGGGGGCACCCTGGCCTCTCTGTGGTAGCCTCCACCGAGTCAGCAGGTTCAGCGGCCAGTGATGCACAGGAATGGTGCGTGTGGCCCCCACAGCTGAGGGCTGACAAGGCAGGGAAGTTCCACAAAGACAAGACGGACCCATAAGACTCAGATAGAGAGGGGGACCCGGCATTGCAGGAGGAGAACGGGGATGAGTCCATTCTCTGTTGGAGGGGAAGCCTCAGGAAGTCTGCCCTGGCTACAGTGGAAGTTCTGAGGCGTGAGAAGTAGGGTTGGGTGGAACGTGGGCTGAAGCCAGATGGAAGGAGCCTGGAATGCCGGGAAATAGGAGTTAGGAGTCTCTGGCATCAAAGCCCGCCTTTCCTCCAGACTCCAAACAAGCAGAAAATGATTTGGTTTGAACTTAAAGCGAGGGGTTCATCTAGACGAACTGCCTTCCTTGGCCCTGCCTTTCTCCTCTGTGTGTTGTCTAGTGGGATGGTGACAAGTCTCCACAGTAAGGACCTTCCCTCCCCGTCCAGCTCTCTCCCCAGCACTCTGGGCCAAGGCCTCGCATGCGCAACGTGTGTCTTTAAGGTTTGGGGAGAGCGGTGGAATCCCCTAACGTGTCCATCCACCTCCAGCCCCAGTGCTCCTGCCTTCTCACCTCCCTCCCTCCTACACTCTCCCCTGGCCCCCTTGGCCTTAGTCGTTTCCTTGCAGCATAGCACTCACAGCTGCCCGGAGGTGGGGGAAGAAGACCCACGCCTTTGTCCCCCCTACCCCCCAGCGTGCTACGGCACACCTCTCGCCCTGGCTGTTCCCCCTTCTGGAATGCTCTTCCTCCAGGTGTTCATTCCTGGCTTCTCCTCAGCTGACATGACCCCTTCTAAGAGAGTTGCTGCCACCACCTGCCCACAACAACTCACCCTCACAATACTCTACTGCCTTCAGGGCAGTAAATTATTCACGCAATTACCTCATCTGTTTATTGTTTTTCTCCTTGTGGGATGTCATCTCCACCAGAACAAGGACTAGGTTTTCTATGTTGCTGTTCCTTTAGTGCCAGAACATGCCCACTCCTGCTCAATAAATAAGTGCTGGCCAGGCACAGTGGCTCACGCCTGTAATCCTAGCATTTTAGGAGGCTGAGGCAGGAGGATCACTTGAGCCCAGGAGTTGGATGGAGGTTGCAGTGAGCTACGATGACACCACTGGACTCTAGCCTGGGTGAGAAAGTGAGACTCTGTCTCCAATAAATAAATAAAGAAAGAAGAATTGAATGGAGGCTGAGGCAGAAGGATCGCTTGAGGTCAGCAGTTCAAGACCAGCCTCAGCAAGAGCAAGACCCTTTCTCTACTAAAAATAGAAAGAAATTATCCAGGCAACTAAAAAATAGAAAAAATTAGCCGGGCATGGTGATGCATGCCTGTAGTCCCAGCTACTCGGGAAGCTGAGGCAGGAGGATCGCTTGAGCCCAGGAGTTTGAGGTTGCTGTGAGCTGGGCTGATGCCACAGCACTCTTGCCCAGGCAACAGAGCGAGACTCTGTCTCAAAATAAATAAATAAATACATGAATATATAAGTGTTTAATAAATGAATGAATGAATATAAATATTCCCACCTCCAGGTCATCCAGTCTCACTCCCTTTACAGATGAGGAAATCAACACTTTTCCTGGAAAAAGAGGAAACAGAAAAGCAGCAAAGGCAACTCTACCATGCCAGCTGCTTCTGGAGTGCTGAACTTGGATGTGATTTATTCAAATGAAAACTCTTGGGGAATTGTTTCAGAGGAATCCATAAAACAAATGTCATTTTTACCTAGAGAATTCACCCAACCTTCCAACCAATTTCAAATATAGTTCTTTAATGCAGATTTGACAAATTTGAAATCTCTTACACACAGCCATTTATCATCTAATGTGTGCCTGCCCTGCACCACGGTTTAAGTTATAGCTTTTTAATGGGGTAAAACATTTCTATAAAATCATCAAAATACCTTAAACCAAAACTGCCTATAAGAAATTGATGAGTTTCAAGCATTGATTCAACCCCTGCAAACATCAACCTTGCCATTGGCAGCACGGGCACTTCTAATAAAAGCAGCTAAGGAGGTATAATGAATATCTAATGAACCGTTCTGTATGTCTATGTTGCTTCTCGAATTGGAAATAAATCAATGAGCCTTACAAAATGCATATTTTAGTGAAATGTTCATAAACAACAATCTTGTTTTTCTCTCATGACTCGAGTGTCATTCTTTTTTATAACACAACTTAAGATTTAATAATTTATTATATGTACACAAAACCCAGAGCTTAAAGGGGGAGGACAACCAAGTCCATGTTTGATTTTTAAAGTGTCCTTGTGTGTAGAAGCTATGTGGGTCATAAAAGTAAACCAAAGTGTCCACAGTCTAGTAGCAAACATAAGGCATGGGAATAGTAACTAGTAAACCAAGTCATAGAAACTTCCATGAAGACGATTTCAGGAGAAGGCCTAGATCAGGTGGCCAAGGTCTACCTGAAGATAAGCAGACCATGTTGACCCTGCGTTGCAGTCGCCTGGGGGAACACTGGACTGGAACAAGCTCCTGCAGTGTGTTCACCTAGGGACCTCCTCCTGCCAAAGCGTGGGCTGTGCCGTCCCACCCCCTTCCCCTGCTGGACATGGGACACCAGGTAAGTTGCTTCCTCCCCTGTTGGCCCAAACCCTGTGACCCAAAGCTTCCTCCATATCTCAGCAACTTCCCTTCCAGAGGCCAAATAAAACCATCCCTTTCCCGGCTCACAAAAAATTCCAGTCACTGCAGCGTACAGCGACAGACGGCCAAAGAGCATCTCACCAGCCCAGCCCATAGCCAAAAATAACGGCCACTTGGGTTAGCACGGACTGGAGATTTTTTTTTTCCTTGTTTGTTGAGACTTTGTTCTGAGTTATTTTTTGTTTTGGTTTTGGATTTTGTTTTGTCCTTTACAAGTACACGAAGCGACTGAAGAAGTTGCTACATCCACTTCCCACGTTAGGTTCGTAGGTTCAGTTCCAGTCGTGGTGGGTCAGGACCAGGGAGGTCTTCACCTCTGAAACCTGCCCAGTTGTCCACTCCAAAGGAGAGTCTGGTAAGTGCGTCTCCTCCCCACTCTGCCCAGCAGTGCCTTGTGCACGGCCAAGGTCACGCCGGGATCCGGCCACCAGGCTGCGTGTGCTTCCTCTGCAGTCTGGCTGGAGCACGGCTCCCCGGGGCTGGGTGGGGACGTTTCCAGGCCAGTACCCATGATGCACCTGGGCCACAGACAGGCCTGGGCCCTGAGCTGTCAGTTCAGTGCCCTCCTCACGCATTAAAACGACTTAAATTATTGATTTATTTCTTTAAAAATACACAGTGTTGAACAACAACCAAGCCCACTTTTGATCTGCTCTGTGACACACAAGGCTCTTGTCAACCAGGTTTGTTGCAGGCCAACAGACACTCTTGTTCAATCTTACCTAGCCGGTGACATTAAATTGAAGCGTGCTGAAGAGACGTAGGCTGGAAAGATGATGGTCTTCTCCATGCCCTGTTTCCAAATGCAATGAATAATAAACAACTTGGCAAAACTAGAAGCTTCAATTGTTGGAACATCTTTGTACTTTTGTTCTTCAAAGGCAGAATGTTTTCTGGCATTACGTTTCTACCTAAGGAAAAAAATATTCCCTCAATTTCTATATGTGCAAGCATATTGCGAAGATATATCTCATTTCTTGTCGTGCTGTATGCTGTCCCCGGACCAATAAATAATTTATGTATTTAACGCATTTATCAGCTCTCCCATATATATGTGTGTGGACATATGTATATATAATCTCCTATGTGCTAGTTTCAAAGATGTCATCTATATTCACAGAAAGCAAGCAACCTCTTGGGTGTTTCTCCACCACAAAATTAACTTTGCATACTATCCATCAAATGAGTGAAAAGTGATAACAGGTCCCTGTTCTTTACAGAAAACTAAGTGCTAGTCTACACCAGAGAAGGAGTTATACTAAGAATTTCACACGGCATGTTGTCTAAAATTGCTCTCCTCCCTTATTTTTTGTTTTTTCAAGGAAGGTCTTTATTACTCCAGGGCCACTTAGATTGTAGAGGGAATACAGCTCCTAAATTTCAACTTGTTCTATTTAAGTTGCTTTTCCTTTGCTTCCCCCTTGGAGTATTTATCATGCTTGTCATTAAGAACTGCTTCTGAGCACCTAACAGTGCCAAGCCTGGTACCAGGTGCATGTGTTTGGCAGTCCTCACCTCCACTGCTGTCCGTGGGCTCCAATTTGGATTCACCCGCGGTCATCACTCACACTCTAGTGGCAGCAGCATCCAGCTACCAACATAACAGCAAGCAGCAAACATGAACACTGGCAGCAGCTGCCATGGGGCGGAGTCACGTGGCTGCACCCGACTCATGCTTCCCTCTCTATGCCCACTACCTCTCTCCACCCATCACCCCCATTTGGGAGGCTTTTGTGCTTCATCGATGCCATGAAAAAATCACCAGAATGACAGACTCTTAGAGGAAGACATCTCAAAAATAATCTAGTCCAGCCTGCTCATTTTCAAGAACAGGAAATGGAGGACCAGAGGGGTTAAGTTCCTTGGCCAAGCTCAGGCAGGTGGTTGTTGGCAGATCAGAGACTGGAATTAAGCATTTAAATCTGCTTCCAATGCTCTTCCCATGATGCCAGTGGCTTCCCAACACTTGTTAGTACAATCCACAGCATGAAGTCAGGTTTCCATCATGACTCACACATACGTACACATACATTGTAACTAACACACACGTTTCACAAAACAATACTAACTATGTGACACACTTTGATATCTTCTATTGTGTATTCATGTTTAAATATTCTAGAGATGGCTTAACAGCAGGTATACTAAAATTGGAACAATACAGAGAGGATTAGCATGGCCCCTGCACAAGGATAACATGCAAATTTTTCCATATTTTTTGTACATTTACCAAATGTTACTTTTCTTTCCAGAGATAACATTTATAGGTATACAGTCCTATAGTTTGCATTTTTTTTCCTAATTAGATATATCTCCTGAATGTCAGGGAAGGTGGGAGTTGAATTGGACACAGCATAGGGTTCCTTCCAGGTCTAACCGGTCAGGCTCCTGATGAAGAATGATCTTACTGTCCAATCTGTCCTCAGCTCTGAAAGGCAGAATGATCTAGCAGAGGGAACACTGGACTTGGAGTCAAGGCCCAGCATCTAGTCTTGGCTCTACCAACTACCAAATGTGTAACTTTGGGCAAGTTTCCTCTGGGTTCCGTTGTCTCATCTGCAAGATCAAGCTGTTGCTAACTGACAAGCGTTCTGAGAAGTAAATGAAGTGATGTAAATTAAAGCAATAAAAAGCTCTATGCACAAGACTTGTCCTGGAATAGCAATGATCTTAAATTCTCACATTTAAGAGAAATGTGGTATCTAAAGATGTTTCTGGATTCTCATCAAAACACCTGCATAATGTATTATGGATAAATTTGGTAGAATAAAGAAAAACTACACCCTGAAACTGGCTCATTTATAAATGCTTTTGCAGGTGTTTGAAGAGGAGGGGTTGACCCTAAATCTTGAAGATGTTCAGCCTTGAAAAGGTAGAAGTCATCGTGACCAAAGATGATGCCCTGACCCTGAAAGAAGAAAGGTGATGAGCCTCAAATGGAAAAATGTATTCAAGAAAGGTTGCTACTAGGGAGTTCAAAGAGGAAGAGCAGAACATTTGGCAAACATTTCAGATGGAACAGCCATTCTGAATGCTGGTGGGAGAAGTGAGGCCGAGTGCATGGAAAGAAGGAATTCCAGAGGCCCACAGTGTTGTCCTAGCCGCTTTTGAAGGAGGCAACTTCCCAGGAGGTGGCCAGGCTTGGTTTCAGTGTATTCCAGCTTTGGACTCACTAAATCCAATTCATAAAGATCAAAAGCTGAAATAGAAATTATTTTTTTAAAACACTGAAAATGTCTTCCATGACCTAGCCAAGAGTGAAAGTCAGGAGGATCCTCGACAGCTGAGAACATTGCGCAAAGCCAGGAGTCAGTTGTGCGGCCAAGCCCAGAGATTCTGTGGCCGGGGTGGGGAAAGGCGTCCCTGGCACGGCTCAGGTAGCCAGGGCGGTGGCGGCCGCCGCTGCAGCATAAAGCGGCGCAGAAGCCGTCAGGCAGCAGGGGCAGGGTGCACGGAGGGGGCCTGCTCTAGCTCCCCACATCGCACGTCACCGCTAGCCATGAACTGTGGCAGGAAGCTCCAAGTCGTGTTTCTCAACAATAATCTCAGAGAAATTACTTGGAAAAATAGACTACAGAAAAGGTTAAGGGTTTCAGTTACGGGTTACATTTGACAAAGTATACGATGGTTTATGGTCGTCCTTGTCTATGCCTACGGATAACTTATTTTGTGTTTTCAATTGAGAAGACCTTTGTATATTCCTTTAATAATAATAATAATATATATATATATTTTTTAAAGCTAGCTGTGCTGACAAAATCGACTCCACAAGGCCTCTAAGCAGAGCGTCTGGAGATGGCAGGCGCAGGGGCGCAGGGGTGCAGTGGCCTCACCTGCAGACCTCCATGGCAGCCGCCTGCCCGTCCCCCTTCTCCCACGGGCTCCCACCAGCCTACTCTGGTCTTCTCCTTCCACAACTACTCCCGCTGCATCCCTCATTCCAAGAGTCTTTCCAGTGCCTTCCAGAACCCCCTCAACCTTGGGGGGAAGAGCGGGACATTCCTTTCTCTTCCTGTTTCCGCTGGGGCGCGGCTCTCCCAGGACTCTGCACACAGCACCCCACTTCTTTGCGGAGGGGGCCCGTCCTCCCGTTCTCCAGGGCTTGGAAAGGGACGATCTGTATCCTCCTTGCCCCTCGGAGAGACCGTCACTCTTCTACCTTCACATAGATCCCTCCTTCTCTCCTTCATGCCGCCTGGTTGCCCACGGTCACCCCAGGCCTCCTGCTCAGTCTTGGTGGCTGATCATCTTTTCTGTCCTAGATCTTGGCACGTGCCCAGGTGTTTTAATATCCATCTGTGTGGACAGCGCATCCAGCAGCTTCCCGGCCACGCTCCTTCGTCCCTCCCTCCCCCGGTTACTTCCATGCCTCACTTTGCAGTCACCTGGAGTTGTCCCACCTGAGATATTCTCAACCTTCATCCTCCTCTCAGATCACAACCTCCTCTCCTGAGATTATTGTTCCCTTAGATCCGTTAAGCCTGACTTTCAATATTCTGGAGCCCATCCGGCCCCCATTCTTTCCATTTCCCCCCACCCCTTTCTCTCCACTGCCTGGTGGTTTTATTCCCTTTCCCTTCCAGCCTGGACTCTAGAGCCCAGCACTTCAGCCCACTTTTGACACTGCCCTAAACCAACAGTCTACGACTCTGGTTCATAATGCACATCCACCAATGAAGCAGGAAAAATCACTGAACATGTAGCCTCCACATGTCTTTATTTTTTTATAAATTGTATACATTTTACTATTGACATTTCCCTCATTTTAAAACATATCACAAAAATGGAAAGACATAAATGACAAAACTTTAAAATGCCAATATAATAAGTGCTTTGGTATTCTCTACCCATTCCCATGGAATCACCTTATAGAGCCGCTGGTGCAGTGCACACCCCAGTTTGGGAACCACAGACCTAAACCCTGTTACTCTCTTCTCCCTCCACCACATCACCCTGCAACGCCATCCCCGAGCCCATCTAGCCATGAGCATCCGATTCTCTGCCAGGTGGTTGAAGGGTGCTGGAGGACCCGCTCCTTCCCAGGTGACCTCTCTGGACTTACCCTTTCAGCTCAAGGCAATGTCACTGTTAGCCCTCAAGGGACAACAGTCAAGCAGATCTGCAAGAAAACTCTGATCTTCATCTATCACCAGCACCAAGCTCAGTGCCTGGCACTTGCCTATGACCACGAATGCTCCTGCACTGAATTGTGCACACACGTGGTGTCTGCCTTGCTCTGGCTGTGTGGTTATACAGGCACAAAGAATGCAGTGGAGAAAGCCCCAGTAGGTCAGGGCACCCCAGCTAGGGCACTGAGTGCTGAGCTGTGCGAGGGTTCCTAGCCCTCACGGCACCACCACTGTCTGCCCATTGCGACCCAAGCAACAGACCTGCCTTTGGCAGCCAGATGCTCCACAGTTAGGCTGAGTGTGCCTGGGGCAGCTTAAGTAAGGCCACATTGGTACCTTGACTCTTCTAGGGAGTGGCTATGGAGATGGGAATAGGGCCCTCTTCTCTTTATCCAAACGCTGGCAGCAGCCCTGGCTCAGGCATAGCTGTACTCCAGTTGCCTTCAGACTCCCCCCCTCAGAAGGACTCGGCTATCAGAGGGAACAGGTGAGCAGGAGAGTGACAAATCTGAGGCCATCCAGCCTCAGGTGGACACAGCAGGGACCAGGATCTAAGTGGGGCTGCCAGAGTGAGCACTAGGGAGAGGTGCTTGTGACCCCACTTCCCTCTCTGGCCACGGAGGACACCCATGACACACACACAGTGGCCCCTGGAGACGCATCCCAGGGTAAGCAGGGTTTGTAGAAGGACACAGGACAGCTATGGCACTTTCTCGGGGGTAAAGATGATTCAGACAAAATTCCCTCACCTCGTATAGCTCTTTCCTCTTCTCTTTGTCCCCTTCCTCCTCCAGTGCTTCCTAAGGACTGCTCCACAGACTGCCCTCTGCATCAGAGTCACCCAAGTCCTGTTATAAACGCAGATTCCTGGGCCTCCTCTCAGATGGATTGAGTTACCAGCTCAATCTGGAACCAGGGAATCTGCGTTTAAACATTCTTTTACCCACTAAAGTTTGACACCACTGAAAAAGTCTCTTCTCCATTCTTCCCAACGGCGCATCCCTAATCCCTCTCGCCACCATTTCCCTCCACCCCCTCGCGCCTCAGGCCACCGTGGTGAATGAAGCCAGTGGGGACTCAAATGGAAGGTCCTAGACAGAAATAAGACTTCCTGGGCTTTCCCCTTCCCGTGCTGACTACGAGCTTGTCCCCTACTGCGCTTTTACTTTAACTTACGACAGACATCCCCTCACTCGGCTTCATTTCATTGGGCCGACTTGCCCAAGATGAATAGAGTTGCCTGGAGAAAACTGTGTGAATCAGGTAGCTGAGATCTGGCCTACTGCTGATCTATTTGGGGCCAAAGCCACCACCCACTAATAGATCTCTCCTAATAGACTTGCAAAGATGGAGATCTTAATCAATGCTAAACAAGAGTTATAAATCATAAAGACGTTGGCCATCTACTCACCTCCCAGGGCTGGGAGTGAATGAGACGACCATGACCACGAAGCGCTCTGCACCCGGGAAGATTCTCTGAGCCGTTCTTCTGCTCACAGGATTTCCACAGCACCAGTCCCCATGCAGCTTTGACAGGTGAGCTATTTTAGTGTGAGAACAAGTAGAGTTATTGTTATCTCTGCTCTGAATCAAGGATAAAGAGAAAAGGCGAGAGAGAGAAGCAGGGTGTAGAGAGAAGAAATGGGGATGAGATGAGGAAGAACAGGGAGGACTTCAGACCCCAAAAGGAAAGGAGCCCCCCCGTGCTGGTCCCTGGAAGGAGGTCGCCAGCCAGCCGGTCCGTGGATGAAAATCGCCACCTGACTCCTCAGCAGCCGCAGTCCCAGGGTCTGGAGGGCCGTGATAGGTATCAAGCGACTTTGCCCACAGGGCAGTGTCGTCTGTCCAGGGTGTCTGCTCCCTGCTCATGACCTCGGAGCTACCGCCCCTTTCCGACAGCCCCCCCCCAACCACGGACCCAAAGGAAGCCTGAATAGCAAAGCTGCCTCATCAGTAGATACATCTCTACTGTCCTTACCGGATTACCTAGGACCTTAACGAGGGTGCTATTTTAGCAAGAAACTGAAAATGAGAAGAGAATCAGCCCTCAGAACACGCTGAGTGCCTATTTTAACCCTCAGCCCTGGGGAGGCCGGCACTGCACACAGGATTTAAAGCGGTATGCATATTTATTTGCAACCAGAGGGCCCTGAGCCACAGCTTCCTGCATTCTGCTTTGTCAGCATCAAAAGATTTGCAGCCATAGGCACGTTGAGCTCCCTCTGGGGCTCTCCTCCTCGGAGTCTGACTAAAACGAGAAATTTACCCCAGCACTTAATGAACAGACTTCCTTCAGCTCCCATCTCTGACTCACCCTCCAGCAGCTCCCAGACAAGTCCACTAACAAGCCGGCCTTGCCACTAGGTGTGCTCGGCACCGGGACCTGACCACCAGAGGGAGCCAGAGAGCAGTGAGGGCCCAACCGCCCCCCAAATGAGCTCCAGCCCAGAACCGCCCAGGCTGGCAAGCATTTGCCAATGCTCCCCAACATCTCACCTTCGTTGCACAGTTCTTGGTAAACTCTTATTTTCGTCTTTATCAAGTTTGGATGGAAAACAAAACAATTAATTTAAAAAGCAGCACACAAGAACCTAAACATTATTTATGTCTCTAATTATCTCATTCTAGTGGGTATTTTAGTCCCTGTCTGGTCAGGACATTAATTATCTTCATAACTACAGCAAAAGTTAAATAATAAGCACCCAAGGCTACAGCACTACTGTAATGTGCAAGCTTAAATGAACTTATAAATTTTATTAATGGATGCTTTATACAACTCCATATATTATAAATCAAACAAGAAACCTATTTCTATCTTTTAAGGGTACGGTGAAAAAGCTTTAATATTATTGAGGATAATTTTTATTAAGTTTAAAACTCCCTTTTTTTCAGTAATGAGACTGTTATGAGGATAATTTAATCTAGTTTGTCATGAGGCACCCCGGCTTGTTAAATAAGTTAATAAATGACTGTGCATTAATCAAAGTGACAAAGCTATGAAGAGCTGGGATGGGAGACAATTCTGGTGATAGTATTAATTAGTATTTAATTAGAAACTTAGGGCCCATAAATAAAAAAAAATCATGGTAGAGACATTTATGCAAATTGCTTAGAGCCTGCAGTGGAGTTAGCTTTGCTTTAAAGAAACATGATTTTTTTTCCTAGCATACTGTACACAGCAGCTCTGTGGCCACATCACGTGGCTTAAACGAGCTCTCCTTTTGTTTCCAATTTGTTCCAATTACAGGCCTGTAAATTCAAATCATTCTTTTGACTGTCTTGATTGAAATGTAGAGTTTCCACAATATCTGCTGGGAGTTCTTTTATATATTTTTTTTCTTTTAATAAAAAGGGAGAAATGTTTTAAAGACATAAAGAAAGAGCTGCAGATTCTTTTTCTGCTCTTTTAATTAAGATGTGCGCCACCATTTTCTAAGGACAATCCTGGATTCCATTTGGTACACAAACAATGCCTCTTTTTGAATCCTGGTGTGCTGTAACTAGGTTTTGTTATGTGATATTATATGGAAGCCCGCATAGACTCAACTGTCATCATTTTTATGATAATCATAGCATTTTTCCCTTTTCTCTCAATACCATACTCCGATAAACGGGCAATTTTTGATGGGCCCCCCCAAAAAATAATAACCATTTGGTTCTGAACGTCACTGCTTTCCTAAGGTACGTTTCCTCCCTCCCCTTTTCAGACTTTATTATTTGTTGCATTTATTCAAGAAAGGTTATCCACAGTAAAACTGCTTTTTCTATTCAACAGTCTATCTCTGTCATGGTTCATTTATGTGTGAGCATGACGGACTGAAGCCTGTATTATCCACGGCTGACAAGTGTCAGGCCGACAGTTCAATCAGCCCTTCCTTGAGATGGTGCCCAGGGCCCCGTGTTTGAAGTAGGACAATAAAGCAGGCAACACAATCAGGGCAAACTGATCCAATCCCTGCATGTAAAGGGGATTCTGCCTAATAACACAGTGCAGGGTTTTTTCCCTCTCCAAACACATTAGTCCTTAAACAGTGACTTGGCCCTTAAGAAAATCTGTGACTGACATGAAAATGCTGAAGTTTTAACGTGGTTGGTTTATCCATAACCTCATGGGGCTGCTTCTTTGTGCAGACTGGTTTTGTCAAAGTCAGAAAAATAATGTATTCAGTGTCTGATCATTTTTAGGGGGTTATTTGAATGGGATTTTAAGTCAGACATCCTGGTGTTGACACAGGGATCATTTTCTTGTCCTTTTGTTTTACATTTGTGGAACAGATCATTTGCATCGGCTAATAAAATTAAATCTCTGGAATGCATACAAAAGCAAGCTCCCTTCAGCAACACTCCTGGATTCCCCGCACCCGCCAAGTAAGCAGACTTGCTGGATGTGTTTCTTTATATTAGGTCTCTCTAGAACACAGGCTGTAATGCAAACACGTCTTCAAAATTAGTGCTCCTTCGGCCTGGGTAATACCTGGACTCAAATGTATATTAAAGCATTTCACTACAAATCCTGACAATCAGCAGCAGAGCCAAAGTCGATAAAATGCTAATAACCTGCAGTCCACTCCTTGGAGGGACGGGGATACAATTGCCAGGCTCTTTTGCAGCCTTCAAACCATTGCCTGTGAAAACTCCAGCAAGGGAAGGTTGCTCACCTCTTTAGCAGGGGCTAGAACACTAAATGCCAAAGGATCTCTTAAAGCATCATAAAACTTTCAAACCTGAAGGCTCCACAGAGAACGTCAAATCCAACCTCATACTTTATGGGTGAGGCTCAGAGTCATTTTGTGACTCCCAAGGTCAAAGAGCTTGTACTTGGCAGTGGAAGGGCAAAGGTAACAACAACGAAGTCCTCTGAATTTCGCTTCTCTTTCTCTGGCTGTGCTAGCAGGGCCAAGTTAGTGTAGAAGGGTCTCATGGAAAACAAAATCCAGAGCACAGAATGTGAGGAGTGATGCCAGGAGCTACCACACATGACTATGTCAATTCCCTTCTTGGACAGTTCGGGAATTTCTAAGCAATATATTCTCCGAGTGCTGGTTCTTCTCCGTCTACACTGCCCTGGCCCTACCCACCCATTACCCACATTCTCTGCCCCTCCTTGGCCCTGCAGACCACATCATTTGGACTCCCTTGGCCTCCAGCTTGGATTTGAGACCCGGGGGGGAGGGTACTGATGGTCAACCAGGGGTGGGAGGAGAAAGGCCAGGCTGTGTCCTCCTTCCTCAGCCGCTGCCTTGACTCCCTGTCCCTGCAGAGGCTGCGTCCCTCCAGCACTCCTGCTCCCATGAGGAGCCCTCCTCTGCTGCACCCACAGTCCTGGGTCCCCGCCCCTCAGTTTCCTCTCTGTTCCTTTACACTCTTAGGAGCTAGTCTGAGGTGCCTCCCATCTCTCATTTGCCCACCTGACCCTGCCTGCACTTCTGAATGTAGTCCCTTCTATAAAGTTCCCAGCAAAACCATCTCAGGGGAATTCCATTTCCCACTGGAACCCTGATTAATGCATTGAGTTACTTAGGTTCCTAACCGGTCTTCCTATTTCTAGTCCACGAGTTCTTGACTTATTTGGAATCCCATAGAGAATATGATGAATGATATAGGCTCTCTCCCCAGGAAAAAAATCACTTATACACATATGCACAAAGTTTTGCAGATAATTGTAGAGTGTTCACAGGCTCTTAAAGGCTATCTACAAATTCTCTAGGGTGTCTGCAAAGCCCCCAACATCTCTGCTAAATGCACCTTCCTAAAACACCTATTTGTTCCATTCGATCATTTCACTGTGTTACTCAGTAGCCTCCAGTGGTGCCCTACCAACTTCCAGAAAGCACGAAGCCCAGACCCCTCAGTACGGCATTTCAGGCTGAATCTGCCCGGGTGCTATTAACAAAAGAGCTAGAGATAGGGAAGTAAATACAGGGAAGTTGTTGGGAAGGTGGAGAAAGAAGTGAACAAGCAGTCCGAGGATTAGCATGAGCAGAGAGCCGGTACCTAGGGCTGGAGGGACGAAGGGAAAAGGTGATGTCACCAGAGCACAGGAGCCAGGACTCCCTGGGGAAGCCAAAATCACAGCAGGGGCCTCTAAGCAGGAGCTTAGAAAAAGGCAAGAAAAAGGCCTAGCCATGCTGGTGATGCGTCCAGGAAGGGACACCTGGGCTTCTCTTGCTGCTCTCCAATCTCCGCAGACCACGCTACTCAGACTGGGACCTGCAAGGGTACTCGGAGGTGAGGGGCAGGGGCAAAGTGATAATGGACCAAAATCAAACAGGCCAGGGAGTCCCATAGAAGCCCCCCACGACCTGGCCTCCCCTGTCCATGGAGCCATGACAGAACCTGGGCTGTCCCTGGAAGGCTCGTTTCTTCTCATGTATGTCGTGCACCGACCACGTGCCAGCCACTAGTTCCCAGAGAAAAGCTCCAGAATTTGGCCCAAGAGTTGCAGATAAATATTCAAGACTGAGGTTGGTGAATTGCTCAGGCAAAAGATGGTGAGGGTACTATTCAGCTCTAAGAAACAATGGTGATACAGCACATCTTATATTTTCCTGGTTAGAGCTGGAACCCATACTACTAAGTGAAGTATCCCAAGAATGGAAAAACAAGCACCAGATATATTCTCCAGCAAACTGGTATTAACTGAGTAGCACCTAAGTGGACACATAGGTACTACAGTAATAGGGTATTGGGCAGGTGGGAGGGGGGAGGGGGGCGGGTATATACATACATAATGAGTGAGACATGCACCATCTGGGGGATGGTCATGATGGAGACTCAGACTTTTGGGGGGGAATGGGCATTTATTGAAACCTTAAAATCTGTACCCCCATAATATGCCGAAATAAAAAAAAAAAAACTAAAAAAAAAAAAAAAAAAGATGGTGAGGGCGGCTAATCAGAGTGAGAGACCACAGAGGCTTGGGCAGGCTGGTGGGGCCGCAATATCTCAAGAGGGACAAAGTCAGGAGTTTACTACTGGGATAGGCAGGGAGAAAAGATTTGACGGATTAATCAGAGACTTTGGAAAACGTGATTGATAGATTTGGAAGAAACCAAAGAAACCCTGGGCTGTCAACTCCAGTCTTAAAGGTGCCAGATGTACTAAGAGCAGCGGTTGTACCGTGGAATGCCCTGGGGAGCCTTAAAAAACAGTGATGCCTGGATCCCACCCACTAATGTGCTGGAGCCAGTTCTCAGCAGCTCACAAAGACAGTTGTCAAATATTCTGGAACTTTCAGTCCATTTTTAAACAGAGCCATTATTAAAAATCAGATTACATAAGCTTATAATTAGTCTTAGTAAAAATAAAGGTAATAAGTGCCCAAAATTTATTACTTTATAATAATTTCACTACTGTGCTTTTGAGGTTGCTTATTGCATCTGAGTGGTTTATTACATCTCCTAATAAGGGTGTGTTGTGCGTCTCTTCCCGATTCCATGGTCTGCACCATCCCATTGATAGCCTGTGGAATATTACACCGCAGGAATTAGCAAACACTATAAATCAGGGCTTGATTTGTTGTGCTGCTCATTGTCTAGATCAGGGGTCAGCAAACTACAGCACACAGGCCAAAGCTAGACTGCAGTCTGTTTTTGTGTGTCCCACAAATGTTTTTAAAGGATTGTAAAAAAAAAAAAAAAAAAAAAGAAGGAGGAGGAAGAGACCATTGTGGTCCACAAAGCATAAAATATTTACTATCCAGCCCTTTATGGAAACACTTTGCCAACCCCCGGTCTAGACTTAAGAAAGTAATGGAGTAAACGTTAATAATGCAAATTAAACTTAAAGCTTGTCACGTCTGTAACCGTTACATTGTGAATAGCACAGAAAGTGGAGGAAATATTCTTCTAGGATTGAAAACTATTAACTGGTCAGCAAAGAAATCTGTCATGTCGTTAACGAACAAGCAAAGTTCCAACAGAAATCATTGCTTCGCTCTCGTCTTATTTGTCCATGTAAACAAAAATAACAACCAACATTCACGTTGGAACTACACTCATGGGTCAATGAGTGAACTTGGACAGTAGCCAAGCATCCGTTTGTAGTTTGATTTTGTCAAATCGTGGCTGAATTGCAGCCATAGGTCAACTACAGACCCAAGAGTTCAGCAGAAATCCAGGAAAGCATTATCTGAAAATCAGTTGGCTGAAGAAGGTTCTGTAATAGCAAGTACTGTGCACCTACTGTCATTTGCAAGTTGTATACTACACATCCTTGATATCAGTAAAATTATAATAAATTTATGTACGTAGATACATGAATATTGTTTTCTTTTCCAGAGAGCCTGTTATTAAACTCATATCAGCACACGCTTACCACACCCCTAGATTCTGATTTAAATTGGTCTGGGGTGTGACCTTGGCCTCAGGGTTCTTACAACTTTCCCCAAGTTATTCCAGAGTGTAGCCAAGGTTGAGAATCTCTGGCTCAGGAGAAAGGGCAAAATGCAGGGAGCAGAATCCCCTAAAGATTTTGTTCTCTTTGGTCAGAAAGGTGACTGGAGCCCGACCAAGACAGCACTTGGAGTTGAGGGTGGGGGAGGATGGGGCTCCCCCAGAACTGGACACACCTCGCTGGGGTGATCCTTTTCCAGCTCGCTGGGACAGAATTTTCCGGGAGCAGTGTTCTCACAATCTTGAAGGCATGCAGCTGTTCTTTCCTCTCCCAAAGTCACTCCCAGCAAGGACCCCTTTTCCTCCTCTGTGTCCTACCTGCACTGCACCCATCCCTCCCATTGCAGCTTGGATCTCGCCTCCTCTATCAGCCTCCCCTCCTGATAGACACAGGCACAGACACACACACACGCGTGGCCCACTCCAGTTCCCACTTACCCCTTGCCAACAAACCCTATTTATCAGGACGGTCCTCGGTCCTCTCCCCTGCCATATACCATTTCCAGGCCTCCCTTGCAGCCAGGTGTGGCCAATGGGACACAGTTTTGGCTAATGAGACCTGAGCCAAAATCCGACGGGGGTTTGGGGCAGCGCTTGCGCTTTCCTGACGGAAGTGTCAGATGCAGCTGGTGCACACCCCGCCCACTTCTCTGCAGCAGTCATTTCCAGGGCAGGAGGCAAGCAGCCAATATGCAAAGGATGGAAGTGTAGAAAAACAAAAGGGGCTCACGCTTCGATGCCATCACTGAGCCACAACACCAGCCCCAGACTTCTCGCCTTTGGAAGTCTCATTCTGTGAGAAAAATAAATCCCTAATTGCTCAAGCCACTCCTGGTTGGATATTCTGTGGTTGCAACCAGATGCAAGCCGAATAGAAATGCCAGCCCCACAGTCCCAGAGTGACAGCCCCTTCTATCACTCTATACTCCTGCAGATTTGTCCTGTACCACCTACAAGCACAATCTCCAAAATATGAATGGGTTATGCCCCAGATATGTAATCAAAAATCATTTGTTTGGAAGGTAGATGCACTTTCCCTGTAAGAAAGCAATTCTAGAAAATCCAGAGCAAAGGTTTGTAGTGGTATGCCAACTCTTGGAATAATCAAGAGAATGAAAACAAAGATTCAGGCAGACGTAGGCTACCATAGCTTTGTAAAAAAGGTCTCTAACAGTGACTTATAAATAGAAAAGATAGTGAAAATGATTCTAAAAGATCTGACTTTTGCCCATGACTTGTTTTTGAGGCAGTAGGAATGTGTATAGGTACAGCATGAACTGAGTGGGTTCTTGTGCTCGGATCAGACACAAAGGGTTTAGGGCATGCAAGGGCCACATCTTAGAAGTGCCTGAGGAAGGAGTCAGTGACAGCTGTACACTGAGTTTAAGGGACCACATTGGTAATAACTATTACATACAGAGTTGCATTCTATTTTTGTATCACATTAATGGATATATTATTGGTAATTGTCCTTAATAGAATCACAGAAATGAGAGATGGAAATGCTATACGGTATGATGGAACGCTGTTCTCTTACCATTGATCATTATAATAAGCCTGCTCAGTCATTACTTACAAACCATACTACAACTTTGCCAATGAGGCGGACCAGAATGAGGAGATAAACAAAATTGGTTTTCTTGCTAAATGCAAAGCCTAAGTTTTAAGATATTTTGCTGAAGTTTTAAACTGATTGTCAATTAGTCAATGAGCTATGGCAGGCAGTGTATTTCTGGGTAATTAGTGTGTGTCTTATGGGGGTTATTTGGCATGAGGCTGAGGGCAAAGTAATTTGTATCTCCCAGGAAGTGCAATAATTGCCTCAACCCGAACTGCTTGGAAAATGTATTAATTCTATTAGGAAAAATGTATGTTACTTTTTTATGATATCCTGTATATTCATGAAATATACTCATAAACTATGAATTATTGATTTGGGGGGCTTTACCACATGAGTATGGCATCACTGATGACCAAGAAAAAGGGTGGGGAGTTGTTTGTGCGGTTGGAGAACTCATGCGTTGCCAGAAAAGATGCATGTTGGGTTTTGAAATTCATCTTATTAGGAGACCACCAGATCCTAGCAGGCAGAAGAGGTAGTGTTGAGAAAAGCGAAGTCGAAACTAATGCCATTTGCTTAATATTAGCTTTTTGGGGAGCCAGCAGGCCACCCATGTGGGGCTCGCTGTGCAGTCTGTGAGAGAAGACCTGTGAGGGCTGAGGCCAGGGAGATCGTAGGCTTGACCGTGGTGCTTTGGGGCACTTGCTTCCCCAGCCCTGTTCAGGAGGTGCGGGACATGACAGTTATTCATCCATTCATTCATTCAACAAATGTTTACAAATCAATGCTCAGTGTGCTGGTTATCTCTTGTGATGTAGCAAATTACTCCAATTTCGCCACTTATAACAGTGCATATTCACTATCTCCCAGCTTCTGTGTGTCAGAAATCACACCAGGCTTGGCTGGGTCCTCTGTCTCACAGTGTCTCACAAGGCTGCGATCACGAGTCAGCCCAGAGTCTGTGCTCCCCATCTTGAAGGCTCATCCGGGGAAGGGTCCGCTTCCAAGCCCCCAGTTTATTAAAGGCTACTGGACCGAGGGTCTGACTTCTTTGATAGCTGTGGACCAGAGCTCACCCCTGGTTCCTTGACAAATGGGTCTCTCCAATATGGAAACTTGCTTCGTCAACATGTGCATGCCAAGAATGCAATAGAGTCTGCTAGCGAGGCAGAGGTCACGATCTTTTGAGACTTAATTGCAGAAGTGGCATCCCGTCACCTCTGCAGGCTATTGATGCAAAGCAAATCACTGATTCGGATGGCATGAAGGAGCGGGGGCTGCACACACGCATGAAATCTCCAGGCCCGTCGTGAAGCCTGCCCACCACAGCCAGCCTCCGCCACCAAGGCTTCCCAGCCTACCAGAGGCTCTGGGGGCTGAAAGAGAATAACAAGAGAGACCTAATTTAGCCTGGGTGAGTAGGGGAGGCCTCTCTGAGCAGGTGACATTTAATTTGAAGACTCAATAATAAAGAAAAGTTAGTTAGGTACAGAGCTGGGGAAGAGCATGACGTGTTTGGAGCAAGATCTGAGTGGCAGGGACGAGTGCACAAAGGGCAAGGTGGGACAAGGTGAGGTTGGGGAGGTAGGCAGGGGCTGGATCGTGCCAGGTTGCAGGTCAGGATGAGAAGTTTCAATTTTATTCTGAGTGCAAGTGGGAAGCCACGGGAGGATTTTAAGTACAGAGTGACATGTTCCAATTTACATTTTTAAAAGATCACCCTTGCTGCTGCACAGAGAATGGATTGGAAGCAGAGAGAGCAGGTAGGAGCCTCTCCTGGCAAGAGGAGGAGATAACCTGGAGTAGGAGGGTAGCAGGGGACGGGGAGAGGAGGATGCAGGTGGGAAATGTTTTGGAGTTTAAAAGCAACATCCTCGGAGAGAACGCGTGTCCATCAGGTTACCAATTTCCTTCACTCTCTCCTCTTTGTCCATTTTTTAAGGGAAATAAAGAGAAAGACAAAGAAAGAGTCGTGTGACTATGATGAAAAGAGAAAGATGTGGAGAGACTAAGACGGCCAGGGATGAGAAGACAGGGCCCAGCGTGAGGATGATGGAAGATGGCGAGGGAAGAACAGGGACGCGTTGCTGCCCCCCCCCACCACCACCGCTGGATCTACTTGGCACGCTGCAGAACTTTTCCATGCTTCTGTTTCCTCTTCTGTAAAAATATCCGCCTTTCAGGATTATTATAAGGATTAAATTAAATAACAACCTCATCCAGATCCTGGTGATTTTCTACACCGCTCCTTGACTCGCTTTGCTCAGATCCCTACTTAGTTGCCACAACCTCCCTGCCTGCTCGAGCCCAAATAGCGCAGCCCACCTCCCCCCTTCCCTAACCCCGCGCCCCACTTGGGTCTGCCTGCTTGACTGTGTTCACCCTTCATCCTCAGGGCTAGGAGAGTCCCCAGCACACGCAGCGGGTGCTGGGGACTGGGCGCTGAGCAGGGCAGGGCGCAGGCGCTGACAAGGGCACCCCGGGCAGGGGCTCCAGCGTTGCCAGGTGCACCAGGGACAGCGCAGAGAAACCTGCTAGGGAGTGGAGTGAGCAGCAGCGACCATGTCGCTGAGAATGACCTTACAATGTACAGCTTTGCCCCTGCAGGTTTTAATCCTCCTAGCCGGTCTCTGAGTTAGGTAATGCTCCCATTTACAGATGAGTCAATTGAAGGAGACGGGAATTAATAAACCTCTCCAAAGTCCAGAAACAACAGACACTGGAAAGGAAGTCAGAGCCTTGACTTACTACGAATTTACTGCAATTGGGCAAAAGCAGGAGTGTCCTTGTGACTCACCACTAGCTACACACCTCTGTCCACTGCAATCCTACACCCAGTCCTCTGGTGTCTCCCGCCCTCTTCCCCACGTCTCCATCCCCTGCTCTCCGAGGCAGCTGATACACAGACGCTGTGCATGTGACACACCCAGGCCACGCCCAGCGGGGCGGCAGCGAGCCAAGCAGCCGATTACGTGTGTGCCCGTCGCTTCCCCACGCCCCAGAGTGTCTTCCTTCTTTCAGAAGAATTCACTCATATCTCACTGCATTTCTTAGTTCAGTTTAACCCTACCATAGACTTCTGGCCTGGAAACTCTTTATTATTTATAAAAATAAAGAAATGACATGCCTTCACTTTGGCTCACACGCATTGGTCACATGAGTACTTTGCATCCACTTGGTGTCAAGCGCCGTGCTAGGAACTGGGACACGGTCAACCAGATAGACACAGTCCCTCCTCAGGGAGGTCACACCTAGAAGGAAAAGCAGACTTTAGGCACGAATCACTGTTTAGTTAAGATTGTGATTGGCTATAAAGAATCTGTTCAGGGTGACATGAGAGCTTGAAAGGAGAAACCTCCTGCATGAATGAGCTTGTTGTGGGGGTCAGGAGGGCCCCCTGAGGAAGGGTCATTTACAGGGGTCTGAAACCCAACTAGAGTTAGTCAGACAGGAAAGTAGAACATCCTGGGCACAGAGAGCAATGTACACAAGAGCCCTGAGATTTGAAAGAACTTCTAGAAACCACAAAAGCAAAAGCAAAAAAAGCCTAACAAACAGTAAGCATGAAGAAGTCTGCATGAGATGGAGCCAGGAGGGGCCTCCCCTACCTCACCTGCTTCTCCTTCTTCTCCAGGAAGAGCAAGAACGACAAGGCCATAACCTCAGTCTCACTCAAGGGCTTTAGCAGAAACATCACTGGCACTAATTTGCACCTAGAAAGATGTGTCATTACCTCTCGGCAGCATCTTGATAATGTCTTATCTTGGGAAAGTGTATAGCTTTCGTCTTCTTCCTGATACAGAACGGCCTTGTGCTAACCAGCCATTTGTGTCCACTCAGCAGTGGCGGATTTGCAAAGTTGGCTTAGTGGATGGGATCTGGCCACGTCTCCCTCCCAGGGAAACGTACCTTTTGCTCACAGCAGTGGGCTCTGCAGCGGTGTGCTTCCAGAAGCCTCCACGGGCAGTTGCTCTTCTTCCTCAGTTCCTCCAGGTTGGTGGTTCTCAGCGGGGACATTGTGGAAGCTGGCGGGGACAGTTTTGGTTGTTCCCAGGATTGGAAAGCACCACTGCATTTACTGGGCAGGAGCAGAGCTGTGGACACTCTGCAATGTGTGAAACAGGTGGTCACAACAAAGAACCACCCAGTGTCCCACATGACTCTGAAGTCCCACCAGATATGGATGTAGGTGAAAAACCTATTTGTGGCTTTCCGAGACTAGAGCCTGAGTTTTGCACATAAACACAAAATATTTTTTGCACAGTTCAATATACACTGAATTATTCAATAATGAAACCATGGTGGAAATGGAGGGAAGATTTACCTTGATTGCTTTAAATTTTTCCCCAGGGTTAGTCACCATTTCCAAAAGTCATATCACGGTGTTCGAGTCACCAATGGGGCACACCTGTATAAATCTGCCTTTGAGACTGTCACATGCGTGGTGAGTATGTATATATGCCATATTTCAAAATGCCAACTCTACAGAAAGTGTTGTCTATATTCGGTTAAATGTTTTACTTTTCTTAAACCCAAATGTGTTCTCTGTAAGAAGAGGAAAGTGCACGTGCTCCTTTGGGAGCCTCAGTCCCTGCCACTAGAGGACTGGTCACACACCAGCGGCATTGTGTAGCCCGGGACCTTGTTGGAAGGAAACATCTCAGGCTCTACACAGATCCACTGAATCCGAATCTGCATTTTAATCAGATCTCCAGGTAATTCGTATGCACATAAAACACCTCTTCTAGGTTCCACTGGCCTGAGCATTGAAAAAATACATTCTTTTATTACACTTTCCTTTTATTTCTCCTCTTTATTACAGTTAGGACATTACATTAATTTTTCTAATTATATGTAAAGGTGGATTATACTATCAATGAATCTCACCTCAAAAAAGTGGTGGGAGTCACCAAACGTATGTTAATGAAAGAGAGTGTTGGCTCTGACGGGGTTGAGCACGCTGCTCCAGGACCCCAGGAATCCAGTGGAACTTGGGGGCCTCCAAACAAGAATAGAACTTCGGAGTCAAATTTCCCTGGACTTTGCCATTTATAAACTCTAACGACTCCTACATCTGTATCTCCAGCTACAAAACGACGTGCCTCCTCTCAGTGCGCTCTGGACACAACCCTGCTTTCTAAATAAACACCGGCCACGTCACACAGGAAACCTTGCTGTTCCTACAGGGCCAGGCCACGCCCAGTTACTTGTTCTAGAAACGTCTGTCGATTCCTTTGCGCATGGGATGCAACGTCACAGGGCTATGAGCAGTAAGAAGGCAGAGTCTGCCTCTGTGGAGCTTAGGACAGTCTAGAGCAGAGCTAGGAGGCTCACAGACATGGGGATAAAGAGAAAGTGTTAAGTGCCCTGACAGAGGTACGAATAACACAAGACCCCGTGAGAGTGTGAGAGAGGCAGAGATCACTCACAGACTATGGGAAGGTCGCTGAAAGCCAGTGGAGCCTTCCACAGTCGCCCGGAAACCCAGTTTCCCTCAGCAGCCCCTGCTCCGTCCCCCCTATGCAGCCAGGTAAGCCTTGTCTATTTTTCTCAGAGCTGGTTCGATACATCTGCCCTCTCAACCTCATGAGTTGCCCTTGTTTCCTTCTTCTCAAAGTGAAATAATTCACAAGGCAGGAACTCCTTCTAATTCCCACCATTGTCTCCCCACCCCTCCTACCCACCCCCACCCCCACCTGTGGCTGCGCCAGGACTGTCCCCACCCCTAGCTAAGGCTTCTCTGCGTACACCCTGCTTCCTCCACACCTCTCCGCTCCGCCGGTCATTCTCTCCCTCCCCTACAAGGCCAGCATCGCCCTTTCTACGGGGTCCTCCCTGTTGACTCTAGAACACTCTTCATTGTCTTCCAGTGTCATTTTTAACCACCACTCAGGCCGCCTTCCAGCCAAACTGCTGACCTCTCCTCTCCCTCACGACCAGACTCTTTTAACAACACAGCACTGAGTCGAGTCTGCTCTCTAGCTCCTCTACTCAGGTCCCACACGTTCTTCAACCCTCTGCAACCAGCTTCTGACCCCATCATGCCACAGAAACCCCTCTCACCCACGTCCAAAACTAAACTAATTCGTCCTTTCCTCCCTACCTGATCTTCATCCCTTGACCTCCATGCAGCGGATGCCCCCCTGTTTACCTCTTTGCCACGACTAGAAACAGGGGCATCATCCTTGACTCTTCCGCATCTCCATACCAAATCAGTCACCCTGGAGTCCATGCCTTGCACTATAGCCAGAGTCACTCACGTGCCAACACCATTACCTCACCACGCTGCGTAAAACCCACCCATGGCCTCCTCGGTATGCTCAGGATAAAGTCCAACCCCAGGGAACTTCTTCCAGTGCTTCACTTCCTTCTCATGCATCCTCCAACCCCAGACTAGCTGGATCTTTCTAAGGTATCAATCTGGTCAAGTGACCCTGCCCACACACTTCCAGAAGCTCTCATGTGTCCCCCATTGCCAATAGAGCCAAACCGAACATCTTAACGTATAAGAGTCTGTTAGTAAAAACACGGAGCGCTCAGAATAGCTGGAGCGTTGCTCAGAAGGTCTGTGGCTCGATGTCCTTCAGGGAGGGAACGGGATGAGCTGAGAGGTGCACGGAGCCAGGACAGGGAGGGCCTTGATGGCCAAAATAAGGGGTTTGAGCTCGTCCTGGGAGCAGTGGAGAACACAGTTTCACAAGGGTTCAAGAAGGTGAGAGATTTTGTATAGCAGCCACCTTGGCTGCCCCACACCTGGGTTTCAGCCTGGGCTGCGGTGGGCCTGAACTCAGTGTGAATGCAGCCGTCCCTGAGAGCGTCCAACGGCAGGCATGACCCACCTCAGCTTGCACCATGCGCATTTCCGCCTTCCGCCTCTGCGCATCCTCCAGGACAAAAAGAGTCACAAACTGTGTAAAAATACTCTGAAGAACTGTGTGTGTGCACATGCATGTGAACACACATGTGCGCGCGCGCACACACACACACGATTCCCAACAGCTACAGGGTAAGGGAAGAGGGAGAGCCGAGGCTGAGTTCAACTGTTCAAGCCTGGATGACTGGGAAGACCCAGGTTCTGCTGACAGGAGCAAGGACAGAGGCAGCTTGGGGTGTTGGGGTGAGAAAATCGACTGGCACAAAAAACAGAGGCAGGGAACCAGGTCACAGGAGCAGAAGTGGAAGTAGCTCAGGAAGTTCAACCTGCAGGGGAGAAAACTTGGGGAGCACACAGAGCTCTCTTCAAACACAGGAATGTCTGTCAGGAAGGAGCATCCAGAAAGGGAGGGGTGAAGGATTGCGAGCGAAGGCAGAAAGCACACGAGGTGGCTGTGGCTTAGTCTGTGAAAGCACCTTGCGATCTCCGCGCTGACTATGAGGGACACAGCACCCCGTCCCAGGGCTCCTCACACGGCTTGTTCAGGAGGCCACAGGGCAGCCTCCAAATACCAGAGGGAGGTTGAGTTGGGAGAGGTCATGTCCAGCTCTGAGGGTCTGGAGTTCTGTTCTGCACCCTCCACTGCCTCCTCTCATCCTGCCGCTCCTCTCTTCACATTTGTGGTGAAGAGCACAGCCTTCACCACAGCCTCAGCTGGCTCTGCCCCAGGAGCAATCCTGGGCAAGTCAAGGAAAGAGAAGGAGCTTGCCCTGAGGCCCCACACACTGCCCTCCCCAGAGATCTTCCCTCCCCAGTGGCCCCTTCCACCCAGGCACCCAGCACGGTCCTCAAGCCCGCCCTTCACACCCCATCCTCACACCCCATCTGGGCCTGCCCCCAGCACTGCACACCCAGGCTCACTAGCGCCTCCAAAACATGTCTGTCTGGGTGTCCTGCTCTCTGGGGTGAGACACTCTGATAAACAGAGCTGTGCTCTTGACTGGAAAAGAAGTGACTCCATTTGCACACAATAAGATAGAACAACGAGACAGGCGCAAGTGGTCAGGTGGAGCTCTCAGAGCCCCTCGACCACAAATACACACACCAACCTATTCTCCTGGGACCCCCCTCGTACCCTGAACTCTGTGTGGATATTTTCTGACAGTGGTTGCAGGAAAGGGCAAAGACTGCTTATGCAACATGCCCTTTGTTGTCCTTTTCTGGACAAAGGGGGGTCTTTGACTCAAAACATTTGTTTAGGAGAACAATACACACACACACACACAGAGAGAGAGAGAGATAGAGGCAGGGGAAAGAGAGATCAATTTGTTTTAAAATCAAATTGGCAAATTCATGATCCAGTCTTCCAGGGAGGAAAAAGTGTCTTTGAACAAGTTCTAAGGAAAGAGAAATTATTTCTGGTCCTACATTAAATAAATATATTTTTTAACACCTACAGTGATCTAGGCACAAAAGGGGACAAAAAAAGAATTTCAAACACATCCCTTGTCCTTAGAATTGCATTGTGAAGAAGAGACACACAGGAAGCCAAGCGGCAGGAGAAGGTGAGGGTCATGTGTCTGGACAAACCCAGTGGCCTTTAACCCCAGGGTGCCTAAGAATCCTTGGGGTACAGAGTCATTAAAAAGGGGGAATCATTAAAAGTACAGATTCCTGGGCTCTGCTCAGTAGATCAAATTCACTAGGTCTCTGGTGAGTTCCAGAAATCCACATTTTAAATATACTTTTAAATAATTCCAATACAGGTGGTCCACAGACCACCTCTGACAAGCCCTGATCTAACCAGCAGTCCTCTGTAGATGTCCAGAGGGAGAAGGAAGCCCACTGGGCAGGCCCTGGAAGAGAGCTGTTTTTGTGTTTAGACATTGAAAAGCTGACAAGGAATCCTTTGCATTCCTCCTCTGCACAACTGAGCATTTTGAAGGGGAGCCAATACCTTGCCATTATCTGGAGAATGTGCAATTGGCAGCAGGAATGAAAAGGGATGCACGCAGCTGAATCCAGGACTGACGAAACCAGTTTATCTGAACCTGATTCCAGGGCATTTTGATGCTGAAAGGTGGTGTTAGGACTCACTGAAGCTTCACTTCTATTGTTTTTCTTTTCCTGGGTGGCTCTGCCAAAGACCTTATAGATATCATTATTTTCAGATTACTGTTATTACACACATTCCTCTTAAATCAAATACTACTTTGTTTTTATCTCCATAGAGCGAGACCAAATCTCAGTTGTTTTCTTATCTTTATATGCAAAACAATCCCAGTAGTTCATTCTCAGATGGGAAGAAAAATTAGCTAAACCCTTGGGCAGAGATGCCCAGCCTGAAGGCTGACTTAACAGTTACCACATCACCAAGGGGACAGGGCGGAGCCCAGATCCCTGTGCATGTGCCAGACGCTGGGCTCAAACTGCATCATGAGCAAATAAAGTTGGATATGAAGAAAAGAGTTTCTGCAATTTAGCAAGAATGAGTGATTGACGAGTAACACTGTCCAGAAACTGACAGATTGTCAAACCCGCCTGCTACCTCTGGGTCACTTCAGCCATGGAATTTCTGGCCCAGTGAAAGCAAAGTCATTGCTTTCTCCCTCGATGGATTTCTCTACAGAGAGTGCAGGACACAAGGGAGAAACACCTGCAAGCTTTCTGAAAGCCATGGGGAGGCTGTGGGATTTTGTGTGCTGGGAATGCCTCAGACTCCATTTCTCTCTGCAAGGCAGCTCTAGTTGTGCGTATTTACCGAATTGTTTAGGCTCTTGGGGCCAAGGGAGAGGGAGGAGACACTTTAATGAGTGAATTACAAGCTGAAAGTCAAAGGATTTGTTATGGCAAGTGATATTTTATTCAGTACAGAAGCTGCCCTGCTGACTTGGGACCTGGCCTTAGGAGGCTGAGTCAAGGGAAGACACCTGTCTGATTTGCTTTGGCCTAGAACTTGGGCTTGTCTCAGGCCAGCTGGCTCCACATGGGCCTTGGGAATAGGGTGGCCAGATAAAACACAGGGTTCCCAATTAAACTCGAATGTCTTTAAAAAGAAAAAAATATTTTCCAATGTAAGCTCGTCCCATAGAATGTTTAGGATACTCATATGCTAAAAAAAGGTATTCATTGTTTTTCTGAAATTCAAATTTAACTGAGCATCATGTGGTTTTATTTACAAAATCAGGCAACCCTATACTGTTGTGGTATGTAAGTAAGCACCACACTTCCCTTCGTTCTTCCCCAGCATCCAAACCCTGCCAGGGCCTCTCAGAGTGGCTGAGTCAAGGGAAAACACCTGCCTGATTTGCTGAGTGGGGTTTTTATCCATTTGGGATGTCCTGAGAGCTGGCATTAGTCATGAAGGAGGGGACCCTGCAAGGTGGAGACCTCCAGGCCAGTTGTTTCTGCTTCCACCCTGCCCAGAACAGCATAGATGAAAGCAAATACCTAAAGGCCCTCTACAGGGTGGAGCCGGCCTGACACAGGAATTATTATACAAGGCCAGACGCAAAGACTACCCTCTGCTTTGTGGCTAAGGGATCCCAAAGCACAGGCCACTGCTAGCCTGACTGTACTTGCTACTGTACTTCTTAAAGATTGTGAGTTCCAGTTTTTCTGAGGTGCCCATCTTCTCAAGAGACATTTCTGAGCTTCCACTCCTGAGCTACAGCCTCAAGCCCCTAGACCCAGCAGCCATCCACGGAGCACTGCGTATGGACACTCGGGGGTTTCCTTCAGACACTCCCCACCCCCAGCCTCAGTGCTACACTTCTGTATACATCAGCTTCCTGTGGTGCCAGGTGCTCTCGAATAGCACCCTGCTCAGTCTCCTTCTCTTGCCTGGTACAACCTTGGTAAGCTGACCCCAGATCTGGGCTGCTTGCCCTGGGCACCAGTTGGCTACGTGTCAGGGCATTACTGCTGGGATTTGCTCTGGACTCTGAAATATGCCACCGCAGCCAGCCTAACTCCCCAGATCCCGCCAGCCTGCTCTGCCTGGAGACAAGATGAGACACTAGGACTATTCAGCGTCTGTCCATGCCTTCTCCTGGGAGCATGAATTCTACACTCTGCTCACACATTGTAGGAATAATGCCTCCCTCTTTACCCCAAAAAGTCCCTTAGGCAAGTTCAACCCCATGTGCCAGTAGTTCAGAATTATGCAACCATGCTCTGTTTACTTGACCACCCCTTGGCCCCGGGTGGCCAGGGGTGTGATGGTGTGGAAGCCCAGGAAGACATTTCAGACTTGGCAATCTTCAGTCTCCTCTTCTTGCAGTCCCCCTCCAGCTCTGAGGGCACCCCCTTCTCTAGACACATCATCCTCAACTATATTAGGGATCCCTGGGGCAGGTGCACTAAGGTTTGATAGAAAGATGAGGTAATGTCACATTTTCTACCTTATTAACCTGGAAAAGCTTAAGCCTACCAAGTTTGGGGAGCCCGAAGCATATTCTAAACAGACAGCATCTCCTTCCTGACCCACTTCTCCTACCGAATCGTGGGAACCTGTCCGTCTTAGCGGCCACACTTAGCGGCTGGTATTTCTCAGTGTTATCTTCTAGGGCTGAAGCTGCAGTTTTCCTGATTTGACCCTTGCATATTATTTAATTGTTTATCTTGACATACAGGTTTGTCCCAGAGGGGGATGCTTAAGAAGCGTCCTGGCATCCCTGGCTATAGAGAGAAATGCAGCTACACTTACCTTGGCCTCCCTCCTGCCAGACTCCTCCCAATTATTCTGCAGGCTGCTCTGCCCCGAGGGCAGTTTGCAGCTCCAGGGGACTGGAATTGGCTTAAAAAAATTCCTTCCTCTCTGTGCCCCATGTGAGGGGGCATTGTGTGCTCTCTAAATAATAAGCCTGGCTTTGTGTGACCTAACTGGGCAGGGCCCTTTGAGAGATTTTTCAGTTGCAGAGAGAGCAGTCAGCTGCACCCTAGGAAACCAAGAAGTTTCCAGACCAAGGAGGGAAGTCAGTGACAGCAAGACATTTTTTTTTCCCTTAAGTTGTATTGTGAACTAATTCCTCTCTCCCCCTCTCACTAGTGATTAGAGTAATTAGGTTAAAGTGCAACAGAAGAATCCAAAGGATCTAACAAATCATCACATTTAATCAGATGCACCCTACCCCACCCATCACCACCAAAACAAAAAGCAATCAACAAATCACTTTAGAGCACTTCTTATGTGCAAGGTGTTGTCACTGATCAAGGTAGTTATTTCTTACATTTGCTGTCAGGATGCAGCACTAGCTAGAAGCTAAACAGAGAGATGTAGAAGACACAGGCCTTAGCCTCTGGCTGACAACCCATTAAGAAGAGACCGGAATTTTAACTGCTTCCACTGTACCAGTCATGGTGCTGGGAATTCACATGCATGAACTCATTCAACACCTCCATAACTCTGAGGGGAAGATAGTAGCTCTCCATTTCACAGATGTGGAAACTGAAATCCAAAGAGTGTGTATATAATAACAGGTAGAATGATGCCTTCCCTCCTTCAAAGATCCCAAAGCCTGTGACTATGTCACCTCAAAATGGCAAAAGAGGCTTTACAGAGATGATTAAGGATCTTGAGACAGGTGGATCATCTCAGATTATCTTAGAGGGCTCAATGTAATCATAAGGGTCTTTATAAGAGGTAGATAGGAAGGTCAGAGTCACAGTGATACAGATGACAATGGAAACAGAGATTGGAGTGATGTGTGGCCAGGAGCCAAGGGATGCAGGAAGCCTCTAGACACTGGGAGAGAAACAGATTCTCCCCTGGAACCTCCTGAAGATGCCCACCCTGATGACCCACTTTGGATTTCTGATTTCCAGAACTTTAAGGTAATTGTCTTAGTCCATTTTCTGCTGCTGTAACAGAATGCCACAGACTGGGTAACTTACAAAGCACAGACGTGTATTTGGCTCGTGGTTCTGGAGGCAGGGAAGTCCCAGATCAAGGGGCTGCATCTTGTGAGGGCCTTCTTGCTGCATCATAACATGGCAGAAGGTACCACATGGTGAGAGAACAAGTAAGAATGAGAGAGAGGGGATGAGGGCCAGAACTTCATCGTTTTGTCTGGAGCCCACTCCCCTGATAACTAGCCTACTCCTATGATAACAACATTAATATATTTGTGAGGGCAGAGCCCTCATGACCTAATCACTTTTTAAAGGTGCCACCTCTCAACACTGTTATAATGGCCACCAAATTTCAACATGAGATTTGGAGGGGACATTAAACCATAGTAGTAATAAATGTATGTTATTTTCAGCCACTAAGTTCATGGTAATTTATTGCAGCAATAATAGAAAACTAATATAGTGTGCCCCAAGTACATTCCACAGTAGAGTTAGGTGGTCATACAAGATTACTACAAAGTGGTAGAGCCAGGCAGGGCTGCCATACATCTAACTGGCCCCTGGAGTTCTGCAAGGCAAGGGCCCTAGAGCAGGAGTCAAATCAAGTCAGTGTGACCTTGTAGACTGTGTCCTTTCTTTTTTGCTAATCTACTTCTTAAAGACAAATTTTGGGGCTAAAATGAGTAAAATACCAGAAGAGAAAAATTCTATAACATGATGTTTAATGAATACGCAAGGAATTCAGGAAATGGATGGGTTCCAGAAAAGAGTTACTGGTGCATGCTAAAGTGATCGGGGAAGACCTGGTAGAGGTGGCACAGCTTACCCTGGGCCCCACAGCATGGATAGATTGGAGGTGCCACTAGAGGCGAACAGAAGGTCTCACAGATGGGGCAGTGACCTGATAGAAGAACTGCCCCAGAAACAGAACAGACAAACCAAACTTCCCATCCTACATCCCTTCCTTCTACTCTCACCCCATTCTCTGCCTGTGGGTTCCATTGAATCTTCCAACCAAAGTCTTGGCAAAGGCCTTGGACAACGTCCTGTGGTCTGTCTTGCCTTACGAATGTCAAATCTTGACCCAAACAGGCATAGTTTGTCTTTCTTGCCCACAGTTGCCCAGCAGATCAAGCCTCCCAGGCCATTGCTCCCAGGAATCAGGAACAAAGTGTTCTCAGTTATTTAAGGGCAATAAGCATACACTTTGCCTGTAGGTGGCCAGTTAGATTCAGCATATCCAGATGAGGGATGTTTGGATTAGAATTCCAGACTTCAACCTCAGGGTGACAATTTCATAAAACACGGGACATAAGATCAGAGATATATTTTAAACTACCTTTACTTTATAATTAAGTAAATTATAAGAGAGGTGACATATGATAAAAATGACCCTAGAGCAGAAGACCCAACCTCTCCATTCCCGTGTTCTGCTGTCACCTGCAACATAACATTGAGCAAACTCTGATACATCATCTGTGAAATGAGAAATTTGACTTAAAATTCTCACAACCAGTTAAGATACTTTGGGTCATAGGCAACAGAAACTCTGCTGCAAACTGGTTTAAATATCACGAAAATGTATTCTCCTGGAGAACAGAAAGTTGAGCGGCAGGGCAGCTTAGGGGTTGATTAATTTGGTGGTTCAACAATGTCATCAAGAACCTGGATTCTTTCTATCTTTCCCTCTGCTCTTGCCACCTGAGTATCAGCGTCAGCCTCATGCTGGGAGTAAGGTGGCTGCTGTGATTCTAGCATCACATTCAGGCATGGAGCATCTGGAGGAAAAGGAGAGAGAATTCCCACCCCCAGGCCCCAGAAGACATCCCCTCACATGGCCACAATTGAGTGACATGTGCCCATTTCTGAACCAATCACTGCAAAGAAGACCCCTTAAGAGGTGGTATTTCAGCCTCTCCTGGAGACTAACAACTGAACAAAATCATACTGGATAGAAAATTTACAGTGACCTCTATTCTTTCAAAGGTCCCTTCCAGCTCTAAAAATTCCATAAATTAAAAGACTTCTGTTTGCCTGGTATGGTTTAAGCCCCCAATCTACACACCTACATAGAACCCCTGCGAGACAGGGGTACAGCAGCCATCGAGAGACTTTCGTGGAGCTTTTGGTCCAGGGGAGCCTGCCCACACGTCGCCATGGCGGTCAGTCACATTGCTCCAGCCCTTGCAACAAGTCATCTCTAACGTGATCCTGGATACGGCCCTGTAGTGTTGGTTGTGTAAACAAATAAGAGAAAATCGTTGCTATTAATTTATGCAAATTACATTTGAAAAACTAACCAACCAGCATCCCTGTTCTCTACCCTCAAACAATCTTAAAAAAACTGTATGGAATTGAACAGTGACAAACAGAGTGGTAGATGGGGCGTTACATTTTCTTAGAAGTAAATTCAAATTGGCTACTAGAGTTTTTGACTTCACATTGACCATTGGCAGACTGTGTCTTTTTAAACTCATTTCCAGAGCACTTGAATGAGGAATGACATTTTTTTCCCCTAGTGTAGACCTGGTCCCTGGAGTTATTTCCTCCAGCTACAATGACTTTTCTAAGGAAAAGAGAAAATAGAGATGGATGGATGTTTGATGGAAAATTTTACACTTCTCGTTAGTCTTTTTTTGTGGGGCTCAGTGTGTTTGCTCAAGTCCAATTACCTGTGTCTTTCTTCTCTGGCTAGATTAGTAACTATTCAATTCAACCAAAGCATAGAACACTGTCACTAAAATGATTGTTCTTCTCCCAGCAGGATACTTAGGTTTTGACTGAGTAATCAAACTCTGTAAGAAATTTCTCCAAGATATTTATTATACCAAGTAATGGGAACAGGAGGTATGTTTTGTTATATAATACATTATAACTAGCTAGAAGAATAGAACAACAACAAAAAAAAAACACAAAAAACTCTTCCCTTAAACATGAAAGTCACACTACCCATCTTCCTTAGCACACGTGGTGATAGATGAATGTGCCCCACCTCGCAACAGTTTTGCCAGACGACCAAGAGAATAAGAAGCATGCAAAGCAATAAGTGTATCTGAATGAAAGAATAAAGCATTTTTAAAGTTCTAATTTTTCTACCTAATCATTGCTGCCAGTTGTTGAACTATGGGTGGGGAAGGCATTCTGTCCTTGTCATGAGGCTTGGATTTGCCATGCAACACTGAAGTGAATTCTATCAGACCTGCAGTGACACTTAAAATCTCTCTTTCCCACCATGCAGCTTCTAAGCAGCCCCACTCGCAGATGCTACACTGCCTCACAGGAGGTCCTTTTCCATGTTCTGTGCTCGGTGGTGCTGCCAATAAGCCATGAAATGGCCAAACGAGGAAAAAAAACAAAGACCCAGGATCATATAAGCTGAATAACTAGTATTAATACTTGAAAAATGGTGGGCCCAAAAGTGACCACATGAGAATAGGCCAGATTTGTTCAATTTCTTTCAGATTCTCATTTCAGGGCCTGGCTTTGTCCTACCTCACAGGCTATCTCATTGAAATAGAAGAGCACATTAATTTGGTGGAGACTTCTTATTTCATGCCCGTAAAATCACATATAGCATTGATTTTTTTTTTAAACAACATCTTTCACCTTTCTGCTTGAGGTCTCTCCTTGGGTGGAAGGCCTCTTTAAGGTCCTTTGCTTTCCATTCTCCTAGGATCTATGCTCTGAGCCTTGATGCATTAGTCACAGTTCCAAGGTGGGGATAGGTCAGATAACTTTACAATCAAAACTCAAACCTAAACAGATGGCTCCTTTATTCCAAGAAAATGCAAGGGCTTGTAGGGCTCCTGTGGTAATGGGATTCGACCTGAACATTAAGGGATGCCAGAGTCAGCAGCAGGAATTCAGGTCTGGGAGCCAGGCACTGCGGGCTTCCTGCTCCATTTCAACCAGGCCAAGTGACTGCAGGGTC